CACACACACACACACACACACACACACACACACACACAGCTGCACAGGAGGGCATTTATCCCATGCCAGGAAAGTGGACATCGACATTGGGGGTCAGTGAGTTTTAGTTCTGCTTCTTCTGTCTTTAAAGTCAAAACTTAATTATTCTTCAACATCATTAACTTTCTAAAGTTCTTTATTTAATATAATCTTTAACTGATTCAAGAAGCCTCTTCACTCGAAATGAATAATTAACAAAATAAGACAACTAACAACAAGATAGATTAAATTTAATGTAAACAAACTGTAAACACCAAAAAAATACAGTATAATCCAACGATGTCCATAAACAATAATGAACAAGGTCGGGAGTCAACGTTAGCAAGCACAAAGGTGGCTATACCTCAGCTAATGTAATGATAATGAGCTAAACTTTGGTGTGTTTGTAGCTGAGGGTAATACTCAACACACTCTGAGCACTAACCGACTGCACATCTGTTTTTAAAAAGTTGCCATCACCTGTTACAGTTAACTCAGTTTTAAAGAAACTTTCAGTAAGTAATCTCTGTCTATAAACTCAGGTACACAATGAGTTTTTACATTTTAGCTTTTTAAGTACATGACTACTGTGGTCAGTTTTTTTTAATTTGTCAAAAGTTTTGTAAACAGGGCCTCATATTTGTAAATGGCTTGAAATTATATAGCGCCTTATCAAGTGCACAGGCTAAAAGAACAAAAACACAATGTGGGCCGCCACAATGGCTCCAGTTTAATCATAGAAAACAAAAAGACTTTACTTTACTTGCTTGTATTATATTTTTATCTTTGGCCCGCAGCTCTTGGATAGATTTTCATTTTGACCCTCTTGTGAAAAAATTTTGTGCACCCCTGACTTCAGCCCTTTAGAACACAGAACGTGTCAGTCTTGTTAATACCTGTCATGGAGCTGCGCTGCACCTGCACATAGGAGCGTAACGTGATGTCAGCTGAGCCTCCAGACTCCAGGGGGATCGGGTGGGCGTGGAAGTGCCGCAGCATGTCTGTGACAGTGTGGAACCACAAGTGATGGACGTGGCACTGCCCGTTCTCATTCACAGACAAACGCAGATGCTGGAGGAAAAAATGAGAAAATAAATAAATAAATAAAAAAACATCTGAAAAGCCAGAAAGCAGGACAGAGGTCAGGATATTATCTGAGGGGCAGTTTGTTGAGGAGCAGAGCGACAGCACGCCAGGACTGACAGCAGAGGAAGAGGTGGCAGCTGACACTTCCTCTGTGCTGCCTGCTGGCAGGATGTGATGCGCAGGGATCGTGTTACATAAGAACACACAGAACATCCATGTCGCCGCAACTTTTCCAGGGACAGAACATCATACTTTGTATGAGCTGCAGCCTCAAGCTTAAAACTAATTAGAACGAACAAAAAATATTAAAATAGCCAAAAACATAATAATCTAAGTATTGAGTTGAGTAAAATAAAGCAAAAAGAGTTACTTTCTGAATGCCTTTTAAAGATTTTCTTTGGATTATTTACTTATTAATCCACTTTATTTACCTTTAAAGAATGCTCCTGAACTCATGAGATGAACAAGCGCTGTGTCGACAAATAACAGGAAACACAAGAACCTTTTACTCTGTCTTTTTGTCAGAATTGTCATGTAATTTATGGAACAAATAACAACTGCTATCGATCAAAAACAGTACTGTGTATTTATGTAGATTTAAAGAAAACATTTGACAGAAGTGATCACAATATTCTTTTTGAAAAAATTAAGTAAATATGGTATTAGAGGGTCGGCACTAAAATGGGTATCTAGTTATTTGAAAAATAGGAAACAGTTTGTACAAATAAATGGTGTAAGATCTAAACTTGGTAATATCACATGTGGAGTCCCTCAAGGTTCTGTACTGGGACCTAAGTTATTTATTTTATATGTGAATGACTTAGTAAATGTGTCAGGACTTTTCAAATGTGTTTTATTTGCTGAAGATACAACTTTTTTTTGTTTAGGTAAAGATATAGAAAAATGTTAAAGATGGTACAGAAAGATATTGAGAAAATACAAAATTGGTTTCAACAAAACAAATTGTCATTAAATTTGGGTAAAACAAATTATATGATATTTAGTGATAGGAAGACAACTGTTGATTTCTCATTTGAAGTGGATGATATTGAGATCTGTAGAGTCAGTGAGGTGAAATTTCTGGGTGTCATCATTGATGACAAGCTGGCATGGAGACCTCACATACATTATTTATGAACAAAAATATCTAAATCTATTGGAGTACTTTATAAAGTCAGGGAGTTATTTAATGACAAGGCTCTGTTTGTGTTGTACAATTCAATAATTGTTCCTCATTTAATTTACTGTATTAAAGTCTGGGGTAAAGCTTGCAAAACTATTACAAATATAATTTTTGTTTTGCAGAAAAGAGCCACAAGAATTATTGCGAGAAAAGTTTACAACATCCATCAAATACATTATTTTGCAAACTGAAAATTTTGAAATTCTATGATTTAATTGACTATAATATTTTACTGTTTATGTACAAGGCTCACAGAAACGTATTACCTTCCAACATTCAGGTAAATTTTGTTGAGAGAGACAGTTGTTATTATGTTAAGGGGATGGAAATGTTTGTGAAGCCATATTTTTGTACTTGCTTGAGAGAAAGATGTACTTTAATCCAGGGTATAGGATTATGGAATGGTCTGGAGGATAATCTTAAAAATGCCAGATCTATGTATATATTTAAGAGACATATTGTTGTGGAATACTGATTATGTATCACCTTGACACTGTCCAATTGTTCATATCTTGTGATATCCCTGGACGTCATCATCAAGTTGACCTACTTCATGTACCAGAACGAGGCGGTTCCTGGTTGGTTAAACATTATCACATGATGATAGCTGACAGTATAACTTTGCTTGCCCGGCCTATGACAGCCGGGCCCACATCCTGCCGACAACGCCAAAACTGTCGCGGCAAGACTTGTCTTTTAAACACCCTTTTCGCCGTGTTTCTGACTATCTTTGCCGCGACAGTAATGTCTTCAGTTCTCCTAAATAGGACTTTAATTTACTTCCATAAATGGAACAACCTGCAAACTGCAGGTTCCTGGAAGCCAGATTAATGT